GAGGAGGAGGAGGAGCAGGAGGAGGAGGAGGAGGAGGAAAGGGACGAGGAGGAGGACGAGGAGGAGGAGGAGGAGGAGGAGAAAGAGGAGGAGGACCAGGAGGAGGAGGGAGGGAGGGAGGCAGGGAAGGAGGGAGGGAGGGAGGGAAGGAGGAGAAGGAGGAAGGGAAGGAGGAGGAGGAAGGGAGCAGCAACGGGGCCGCTGAAGGCAGAAACGGGGCGACGAAGGGCAGAGAGGGGGCCACGAAGGGCGACGGCGGGGCCACGAAGGGCATGCATATGGGGCCACGACGGGCGCGAACGAGCGGGGGCCACAAAGGGCATTCGTATATGGGGCCACGAGGGGCGACAACGGGGCCACTGAGGGCAGCAAAGGGGCCACGAAGGGCTGCAACAGGGCCACAAAGGGCGACAGCGGGGCTACGAAGGGCATGCGTATGGGGCCACGACGGGCGACTGCGAGCGGGGGCCACGAAGGGCATAGAATGCGGGCCACAATCGGCAGCAACGGGGCCAGTGAGGGCAGCAACGGGGCCACGAAGGGCAGCGAGCGAAGGCGACCGCGGAACCAGCACGGGCAGCGAAGGGCATCGAGGGCGGGCAAAGGGCAGCGAGCGGCGACTGCAGTCCCTAACGGGTTGGTCGGGCGGGCAGGACCAGACGGGCGGGTCGAGCGGGCGGGTCGTTGAAGCGGAAGTTCTGCTTGAACCGCAAAGGAATATGTAGCGGGAGCGCGATTCCTGAACGTCGAGGAACAGCATCTGAATAAATTGTGTGGAAGTATCAGGCAGGAGCCGCGATTCGGCGGTAATTTGGAAGTCCCCAGCGAGAGCGCGATTCCAATAAATTGTCAGGAACTATCAAGCGGGAACCGCGATCCGGCGGTAATTTTATTCCATAACTTGTGAAGAAATATCAGGCGGGAGCCGCTGTTGTTGTCAATCGGGGGCCAACGACACAGTTTGACCTTCAAGACTTGTCCTGATAAAAAAACAGGGTGCGAGCCCCGGGAAGGGCACTTCAATCGAAAAAACAATGTGCACCGGACGGGGGGATCAACAATCAACAACGACGACGTTCCACGTTCCACGCCGATGCGAGCGCTCGTCCGTTCGGGCGCTGGCCGCGAGCACCGAGAGGCAAGCCTCTCAACAGAAAGGAAAGGGCGGGTGCTCAGTGCAGCACCGCCCGCAAGGAAAGAACGAGCCCCAGATAGGGGCAAGCAGGCGGTGGGCTAACCCCCAGGGTCGGCCCACCCTTGCTCGCCCCTATCGGGGCTCGCGCCCTGCACAGACACGGTCCAGGAACCACCGCTGGTCCTTGGACATGCGTCCCGCGCAGGTCTTAAGCAGGGCGCGCCAGCTCGGCGCCTCAATCAGCGCGTGGGCCCCACAACGTTGACAGATCAGGTAGCGGCCAACAGCCGCGACCTGGTGCTGCAAGAAGTGGAAGACCGACGGCGGGGCGACAGCTTCACCCTGCTCTCCCTCGAAGCCGAGGGCCTGCCACGCTCGACGCACCGCCTCACCTCGCGCCCTAGGGAGGACGCCCCCGAGGCGGTGGTGTCGGACAGCAGCTAAAAACAAATGCAAGTCGGTCGGCCTGCAGACCGCGCTAGGCTGCTCAAGCCTGGCTCGGCCTCCTGCCGACTTCGCGATACTGTGGCACCATGTGCACCGCACACCTCCCGACGGAATCGTTTCGAGGTCGTGGGCCATCAGGGCCAAAGGAGGGGCCGTGGAGTTTCTCGGCCTGGCAGGCGGCCTCGGCTCGGGGACCGAAGACGCGGCCACGAATTGGGCCGCCCGCGAAATAAAATCAAGATTCAGCTTGGCCTCGCTGAGGCCGACTCTGACTGCCTCGACTGCACTCTCGGCCGCTCGGATCTGAGCAGCACCCATCTTCGCGAAAAAGTCTGCCCACCCGTTCCCAAGGAGATCGGACTCACGCGAAACACCAGCCTCAACAAACGACCACTCGCCCTCCAAAATCTCGTCCAGATCTCCATGGGCGGGGGTCCAACGGAAGGAAGGTCGTTCCTTCGATCCGACGATTTTAAAAATTTGCCTCCAGATTGACGCGTGCTTGAACGCTCCCGTCGCCAGAGCTGGATCCCAGCTGTTGCCCTCGATCACTGCCGAGCGGTGGTCCGAGACCAGCTCAGCTCCAGGGGGGACCACCTTCAAAGCTTCCAAGAGGGCTTGCCGTTCGGCTCGCGGCACCGTCTGGCACCGTCCCGCGAGGCCTCCATACAGGGCCCTGATCGGCCATCCTCGGGCCGACATCTCGACGACCGCCCAGCCGCAGCGGGCCATCTCGGGGACTCCGTTGGCGTGGCCCGAGCCGTCGGTGTAAACACGTTTTCCCCAAGGAAGGTGGGTGGCCCCCCAAGAAAAAACAGGCAGCACGCTCGGGACTGGCTCCAAAACCACAGGCTGAAACGGCAAACCGTAAACCAACTCAACCGAATCGAAGTCGGGGGGGATTCCTCGAGCCGAGTC